AAAAGATATAATATACACATAATGAGAGTACCAGAAGAAGAAGGAAGAGAGAGGGGACCAGAAGAAATATCTGTAGTTATTACACACATTATTATGACTGATACTTCCCCAATTAATGTCAAACACTAAGCCATAGATCCAGGAAGCTCAGAGACCACCAAGCAGGATAATAATCCCCCTCACCAAAACAACAGTGACAACAAACTGTACCTGGGCATATCCTTTTTAATGTAGAGAAAGTCAAAGATAAAGAAGAGTCCTGAAAGAAGCCAGAGAGGGGAAACACATCTTATATACAGAGGAACAAAGGTAAGAATTACATTGGACTTCTGAGAAACTATGCAAGATAGAACACAGTGGACTGAAATACCTAGTGTTGAGAGTAAAAAAACCCACCAACCTAGAATTTTGTTCCATGTGAAATTATCCTTCAAAAGTGAAGAATAAATGAAAATTTCCTCAGGCAAACAAAAATTGAGGGAATTTGATGCCAGAAGACCTTCCTTGGCAAGAAGTATTGAAAGAAGTTCCTTAGAGAGAAAGAAAATAATTAAGTAAGTCAGAAACCTGGATCCATATAAAGAAAAGAATCATGTCAAAGAAGGTTGAAGTGTAGGTAAAATAATTATTTTATCTTCATCTTTAATCTAACAGATAATGTTTGTTCAAAATTATAATAGCAACAATGTATTTGATTATGTATGCTTACAGATAAGTGAAATGGATGAAAGTAATGATACAAAGGATAGGAGGGAGAAATTATAATTATTTTGTTGTAAGACACTCAGAAAATTTGTAAAGCAGTATAGTGTTATTTGAAAGTGGACTTAGACTAGTTGTAAATATATATTGCAAACGCTACGGCAACCACTAGAGAAGCACAAGGAAAAAGTATTACTGGCATGTTAAAGAGCAGAGAGAAAATGGAATCATATAAAATGCTCAGTCAAAACTACAAAAGATAGGAAAACAGTGGATTACAACCATAGGAACAAAGAAAGTGGGAAACAAATAGAAAACAGTAATAACTATGGTGCATATTAATCTAGGTATATCAATACAACTTTGACTGTCAGTGGTCTAACTGCACTAATTAAAAGATAAAAATTTTCATAGTGGATCAAAAAACACAATTCAACTATATTCTGTCTAGAAGAAACCAATTTTTATTATAAAGATTAGATCACACAGATTGAAAGCAAATGGATGGAGAAGGGTACTATGCTACCTCTAATCAAGAGGAAGCAAGAATTGGTATATTAAGTTCAGATAGAGCAGACTTCAAACTTAGAAATTGCTCCTTTATGTATTTGTCTAACAGCACAGCATCAAGTTATATGAGGCAAAAACTGATAGAACTGAAAGGAAAAAGAAATGTATATATTATCATAGTTGGAGACTTCAAAACCCTTCTATTAGTAATAGAAAGACCCAGCAGAAAGAAAATCAGTAAGGGTGTAGTTGAACTCAACACCACCATCAGTCAACTGGATGTATGGACATCTATAGACTAATTAATCCAATAACAGCAAAATACACTTTCTTCTCAAGTTCACCTGAAACATTCACTAAGATAAACCACATTATGGGCCACAAAACACATTTTAACAAGTTTAAAACAATAGCAATTATTATACAATGTCTACTTTTATACCATGTTGGAATTAAATTAGAAATCAATAACAGAAATATAACTGGTAAATCCCCACATTTGTAGAGGTTAAACAACACACTTCTAAATAACATATGGGTCAAAGAA